TAGTGGTGTAATGAGTGCGTATGTGGCCTATACAGTGACTTGCGGTGGCCAGCCGATGTACATGTCAGTGCTTTTATCCTCCCAGACAAGTCTGGTACCAATTCACCTACCCCGGAGGATGGAAAGCTTGGTTGGCCTAGGTGGGCATCAATCCGGGATTCGAACCCCGACCGTGCGTGTGATATAGTGCGCCTCTTGCCATCACACCACCTCCGCCCTGATATCTCCAACTAATAAATTTAGTTTGCATAGAGAGGAAAATGTGACATGTGATGATCGGAGGCTGTTTAGTGATAGTGGTAGTGATGTACGTCGCGTCTCCCTCTATAATCTTTTTGACGATTAGATGAAGATCATATGGTGACACTCTGATGATGCTGAATAGGCTTCCCATAAAAGCCACATTTTTGTGAGTGCTTGTTCATGCCATCTTTCTCATGTGATGTCTTTGCCAACCCCTTTGCAATGCACTAAACTGATGTCTTCAGAAGCTAGGGCGAGCTCCCCCGACAAATTTAATGTAGATAGTGGGAACTGACCACATATCGTGTGCGAAACGGACGATAACCGAGGAATATGCCAAGTAGAATCAAATTAATTCCGAAGCACAGTACTCCAAGAGAAGTGTTCACGAGGTGATAGTTGATACGGTCCTCGAATCGATGGGCAATGGATGAATTGATAGTCGTGTACTCGTCATACATTTATGTTTGCTCATATGAATTTCTCTGAAAAAAGGGGAATGAATGGCAAATGTAAGGCAACAAGAAGGCATTATATTACGGTAACTTAATTGAGTGGTGCCACAATGACGAATGAAAGTAAAGCAGTGGACAATGTGATGCAGTGGTTGAGAACGTCTCAGTGACGAGCACGTTTCGATATTCGCTCAAACAGAGAAAATCGAATCGACCGTCGGTTACTGTTCGGGCTAATAGAAATGAAGTTTCTCGACAGGCGAGTCCTATCCGACCCTACTAGTACGGTGGGTCAAGAATCTTATCCCGTCTCACCAGCATTATTTTCTCAATTTTTTACTATCTAAGAGACTGACCTACGATTTTAGCCTTCTCAACAAGACTGCTACAATACTTATCGAATACTTTTTAGACTTTGAGCCGCTAGACTGCGTAGATTTCACACACTTCTAGAGCAATCTAGGGGCGGATTTCCAACCAGAATGTGTGCAATTTGGAAAACGATTCCAGGGCAGAGAGATTTTTTCATTTCTACCTATGTTCCACATTGTGGGTTCTTCATCGCTCGCCCGACCCTAAATAGAGTGAACTTATAAGCTGGGCCAAAATTATGATTACACAGACATCACATCTCCGAAATCGTATAGAAAGCTAACAAAGCAAACCAACTTCATAAAAGGGTTTATCACTAATCTCCTATCGGAATATTACATTGACACTGGGATCTGTTGCTTTCTGCTTTAGCCCTACCTCAAAGACGACGATGGACGGCACTGACGGTGGCACGCAGCTGAGGTCCCCGATTTGATCCCGGATTTTTGCAAGGCATTTTAGAGATTATTTCATTTCTTGTTTGGGCTGACGGATGCTTTCATCTCGAAAGCTGACCACGCTGAGACATCCATGGAATCTAGGCCAGGGCTCCAGAGTGGTCACTGGTTAAAGGTTACGAGGTCAGGGAATCACTTTTACGGAATTTCTAGCTAATTTCTGATCTGCGCTCATGAGCTTCATCTTGACAGTATGTCGGTTTGAGTCGCCAAAGTGGCCTACTGCGCATGGCGAGATTCATGTGGTCTCCGATACATTTTTCACCCCTTAATTTACAAAAATAATCGGTATTTTCGCCTCGGCGGCGACGCTCCCAAAGGCCATCGCAGAAAGTCAGTGAGCTTAGCTCTTTATCACTTCCATTTCTTTCAGCTTGATATAAATCCTGTCGCTCTGCTTATTGAGCACCTTTCCTACCGTGAATATCTTTTCGCCGGTGAACAGGAATTCCGTACGATAATTTTTTCGGACTGTCTTGCTACGCTAATTCTTCTGCAGATGCACCGTGCCAAAATTGCCTGTAAANGCAAAGCGACGATTGATTCACGGGGTAGTGACGCTTACATTATTTTCAGAATCTACAAAAAGTTTAGTATCATTAGGAAGGTAATAATGTAATCTACCTTGTGAAATGGAAGGAGGCGAACGAATTGTTACCCCAGAAAAAATTTGCTATTAGCGTCAGCGCCCGCTGTAATCATAATTTTGGCCCACCCTGTGCAACCGATTTTGCCCAATTGCTTCTTCTCAAGCCGACTGACACTAAGAATGGTGAAGCAGTTTGACGGTGGAGAAAAGAAAAATACCCTGGAGTAGTATATGCGCTCGTTGTTTTCTTGCATCGATCTCATCTTATCTGTCTTTCTATCACACCTCACGTATCATTCCTCATTCCTGAGCTTTCAGTGTGAAGCTTGTTCGTGCTAGTTCTCGTTTGAAGTGCATGCTTACAAAGTATGCATTTGCGATGAAAGAAACGATCAGCAAATCAACCGCAATCACGCTTCCAGAAATCAAATATGATTAGGATCAAATAGTAGTGTTTCTAATATTATTAAGCAGTTATCTTAACGGGAATTTGATTCTACTGTGATTTAATATTATAAATATTAGTAGTATAAATAATATTTGTACCGATGCCCAGGTTTCAGGAGAGGCGAACATGGAAGTAGTGTTTCCATTATACTATAGGTGAGGAACGCTTTGATGGAACAGCAGCTGCTAGGAAGTCACGTAATCAAACCTCATGTTTTTCGTTATTCTAAAACAAAGGAACATTGTAGAAGGGGAAGCCAGCATACTGCAATAGGATTATGTGAAAACAAGAGTAATGGGAAAAATGAGTAATGAAAAACAACAGATTGCTTAAATGGTGTCGCACCGAGGTGTGTTGCATATGAAATATGAGGCAGTCACTGAAAGTTGGCAACGAACATTGCAATCTGTAGTAGGGTGGCTTCATGAGAAAATTCTCATCAAATCGACAGTACGTTGCTGTCAGTCATGAGAATTCATTAGATTATTCATCAATGAGCATGTGATGTGACAATTTCTTCTTTGAAAGCGAATATAGGTATCATCAAGTACATCAGGAACCAGTGCAATACAAAACTATAAAAACATCGACGATTTGCAAATTTCCCTTTCCGTCAAAAAGCAGTTCTGTCTAAAGACCGTTGAAGCACCGTAATTGATTCACATACACATAACAATTACTGAATTTCGGATGGCACCCATTCATACTTCCGAAAATTCTTAAATCTCTAGTTCCAGTGTTACACTTTGAACTTTTGCGTTCATTTTCTTGAATTCGCCGGCGTCATTCCCGTCAGGGCGTAACTATAGTTTGTTGTAATCGGAATATGCGCAACTATCAGTTGGACTTGTTATGCAATGTTGGAACTCAATCTCGACATGATAAAAAAGCATCTACAGTGTGTCCCAAAATTATACGCGCTAAAATTCAGAAACTTTTAAGGTTAGAGTAATCTATCATATTCTCTTCACCCGCTATTAAGTTGCACATGAAATACACGAATTGAATTTTCGCGAAATACATGGTTACTGATGGGAATATCTTTTAGATGAAGGAGGTTCATTCAATACTATTCGCAATCATTAACGCGCGAGAGGTGGAAGAGCATTATGGAACTCCTTAAGATTTTAATAATTCGTATAGGAGGCCGTTAAACTATAAAGAAAAAAGATTGAATCAGCCACAAACCAGAAGAGGTAGAAAAGCCAATATTTCTAAAGATAGGACTACTAAAATGATCCGTCTTCCGGTCGGTCGTGATCCTGGGTGATCCATCAAAATGAATTCAACGGGCACGGCTTATTTGAGTTGTCGCGATGGAAGAATTAATGCAGAATCTTCATTACCATTCCTATAATATGGAGAAATCCCACTTCATTGGCGGTCTCCATATAAAGTAGGGTGAAAAATGCAAAATGTTGTTGACTCCCTTGAGTTGCGACACGCATCCCTGCATCGTTTTCTCTGGCTCGAAAATTTTTTATGCAAAAATCATTCCTCAAAAAGTAAAACGATCGTGTTTTGTATAGAACTATCAAACGCACAATCTCTCTCAGCTACTATGGGAACAGCAAAATGACGTCTTTTGAGAAAGCCACTGGCAAGGGTATGACGCTCGTGGTTTCGTTGCTGCAGGCGCGAAAATCGAGAAAGGCCTTTGCTCAAAGGGCATACTGAAGGACGGAATGGAGGACTGATCCAACTCCGCTTCCTGAACCAGCTTGTAGTCCTCCCAGCAAGATGGTGCTGAAGCTCACAGGGCCGAACTTGCCCGGGAGTGCTGTCGACGTTAGCTGCTCGAGCTGGTGATTTTAAATCCAACGGGCTCTCTACTAGTTGGAGACCATACGGTGGAACCTTGCTCTCCAGATCTTAACTCACTTGACTCCATCGTATNGTCCCCGATTGGAAGAGGACCTGTCGGATCTCCAGTCTTAGCTTGGGGTCCTAGAAAGCAATACTCAAGAACGACCAGGAAGAAATGGAGGAGTATACTTGCGTGCAACATGAGAAGGGTTCAAGATCAAACTTGAGCCTCTATCCACGCTCGTGAGGATATTTTTAAACTTGACTGTAGCATGTTGTAGCACATGATGTAAGCAAACGTGTATATAGATTTCATCGTCATTCGTAGCTGAAGAGCTTCAAATACATTGCTGTGAAGTGGCGCCCATAATGTCGGGACACCCTGCAAATAGCGGCTTGATGGTTAGTAGGAGGAGGGGCTCTGTGGTGCGTTCTGCATCGTGCTCGAACATACAAATAATTTGATTAACACTTACGAGGAATCTCCCAATTTTATTAGCGCTCTATTTCGTTTACTTGCCATACAGTAGAAAGGAGAAATTCAGAAGCACTGGTATGTACTGAGAACTTTTTTCGACATAACCTTTGAACACCTGAACCCTATTTTTGGTCGTAGCAAGTAGGTTTACCCGTAACAAGTATCGAAAGCGATGGTAGGATTACATTATTGATGGTTTCGAACTCTGTCGGGAATCTATGGTGGTGTTCTCAAATATATTTACTTTTAACGGTTCCTCCAGCGAACAACTCACTGTACAAGATAATGCTTTTCCCCTTCACAACCTAAAAAATGAGGGCCGACCGATCGAATCCGGGATATGGAATTACCCTAAAATTCCATAGATAAGAGCGGTTGAAACCGTCGGTGAAAAATGAATTGGAATGAAATTGAAATTGAATGCAGTCACCCTCTAACTTGATGGATGGATAAATTAAATTTCGAAGAAGAAGTTAAGAAGAAGCTCCGCCCCTTAACCCCAGACCCCGCCCACTTAATATACAATTCATATAGAAAAATAGCGATTTTAATGGATCGTCATGGGGGGGGGGGACTCACAGTAGCGGATGATCTTAACGGCCACGTTGGAATTGAACGAAGGAGCTATGAGAGGCTTTACGTAGGCAAGGGAATAGGTGGCATTCTCGAAGAAAGAGAAAGGTTCTTGATCTGATCACAGCTCATGACCTGGCAATATGAAGCACCCTCTTCGCGAAAAGGAAAGCCCAGTTGAAAACTTACAGTAGTGGAGGGAGAGTAACAGAAATAGACCACGTACTTGTAAGAACAGCATCCCTTAAAACTGTGAAGGACACGAAAGTACTGCCTGGCGAAGACTTGGCTCCGGTGGTGGAGGCTGAACCGACTCAAAAGAGAACACCTTAAAGAGAAAATACTGGAGCCAGAACTTCCAGATCCCGAAGGGCCGATTCAGCAAACCTGGAGCAACGTCGTGAAGGTCATCCTACGACGTACCAGTGAAACGCTGAGAGAAACTCAGGGTGGATTCCGAGGAGACAAGGAAGCATGGTTCTGGAATGATGAAGTCCAGGGAGTTGTGAGAGCGCTGGCAGAAAACACGAGCTCCAGGAGACCTGACTGCCTATAAGACTCTCAAGAGGGTTGCGAAGGCTGCTGTAGCGAAGGCAGCAGTAGGAAGTGGACTCTTGTATGAGAAACTCGAGGGACGAGAAGGAGAGAAGTTCGTCTTCCGACTGGCAAAATCGCGTAACCGGGCTACTCTAGACATCAGGGCAGTGAAGTCCGCTAGGAGCAGCGGGGGTGCCATCCTCAGGAAACCTGGGGAGGTCAGGCGTAGGTGGAAGGAATACTTCGATAGGCTCCTAAACGAAGAATTCGCCCATAAGAAGAGTCCTCAATTAGAGGCAACGCTTGGTCCCATCAAACTGGACAGAGGATGGGGTGCGCAAAGCAATAGGAAAAATGGAGGTTGGAAAAGCAATTGGTCTAGATGGGATACCTGTCGAGGCATGAAGGTCGCTCGGAGAGCATGGGGTAAGGTGGCTCACGCGATTCTTGGATACAGTGACCCCCAAAGACGATTCCCAGAGGCGTGGAGGAGCAGTAGTATCGTTCCCATCCTCAAGCAAAGGGAAGACGCGATGGAGTGTTCTGACTACAAGGGGATCGAGTTGATTGCTCACACGATGAAAGTGTACGAGCATCTGGTAGACTCAAGATTGATAGAGTCCCGATCTCACAGGAGCGGTTCAGCTTCATGCCTGAAAGGTCTACAACGGATGCCATCTCCATAGGCGGACAAGTTATGGAGAAGTATCGAGAAAAGCTTAGACCCTGCACGTAGCCTTCCTCGATCTGGAGAAGGCATTCGACCACCTCCCGCGACAAGTCCTCTGGAAGGGCTCGGAAAGCGAAAAGTTCGAGAACACATGATCTCTCGGGTCAAGGACATGTACGATGGTTCCACCACAACAATACGCACCCCACGAGGCCAAACTGGAGCAGTAGATGTCAAGGTTGGAGTACACCAAAGATCAGCTCTGAGCCCGTTAATCTTCCTGCTCACGATGGACGTCATCACAGAAGAACTCATGGATGGACCGCTGAAGATCATCCTCTACGCCGATGACATGATGACATCGCTCCGATAGTGGAGAGCAAGGAAGAGCTGTAGGACAAGCTCCAGAAATGGCAGAGGGTATTGGCGGAAAATGGACTCCGGCTGAACGTGAAGAAGACCAAGTTCCACAGCTCCGAGGAGAGCACGGAGTCAACCGTCGACGGTCGCGGGGAAGCCATCGAAAAGGTACAGGACTTCCGTTACTTGGGGAGTGATCTGGCCGCTGATGGTAGCGTGGACCAAATCGTAAAATCCCGAATAAATGCGACGTGGATTAAGTGGAGGGAGTCCACCGGTATCCTCTGCGGCCGTCGGTGCTCCAGGACCCTCAACGGAAAGGTGTATCGGACAGTTTAAGGCCCATGATGCTCTACGGCAAAGAATGTTGTCCCGTAAGTAAACCCATGAGGGACAGCTTCACTCTGCTGAAATGAGAATGCTCAGATGGGCCTGCGGCTGGATCGGGTCAGAAATGAAGACGTCAGGACGGTCATGCAAACAACCTCTGTTCAATTGAAGATGAGAGAATAGCGCCTGCGATGATTCGGGCATGTACTAAGAAGACCACAGAGCCATCCGATTAGGGAAGCAATGGAGTTCGAGGCTCAAGGTAAGCGACCTCGAGGAGCCTCAAAAGAGATGGCGGGACGTGACCAAAAAAGACCTCGCCGAAGCCAAGGTGACGGCAGAAGATGCCGTAGATAGAATTAAATGGAGACGGCTGACGATGCGACGGCGCGGAACTAACGCTAGAGAGAAGAAGAAGCACCCATTGGTATGGTCAGAAGGTTGAATCACTTGGATGAGTTGGCCAGTTCACAAACTGCTCAAATGGGCGTCGCAATGGGAAGGACCACGCCAAACAACATACATCACAACGCAGTGTTCGGGAGAGAGATAACAAACTTGTAAAAAACAGTGTGAGAACTTTGTCTTAATTATGATTTATTCGTAGAGATTTAGACTTTTTGAGTTAGTACATTTTATAATTTCACTCAGCTTGCTCCATCAATCTTTTGAATGTCTTGTCAGAACTTTGTCAAACGTAGCCCACTTTTTACAGATGAGTATATGTAAGTTATAAAAATTAACAGAAATAAACAGAACAAAAAATTAAGAGAACAACGCTCGGTCACAACATGAAGTTGAGAAACACAACGGCGAAAATTTCGATGTGAAGTGCAGGATAATAGCGCAGGAAACGAAAGTTTCAGCAAGAAAGACATTAGAAGCGTTCTGGATTTCACAAAGGAATCCTATGATGGACAATAGAGAAGAGAGTCCGTCCATGACAGTGCCCCTTGCCATATTTACCGCTCTGCGAGCTATGACTCGTGGTCAGTAACATCGCAATGTGATCCCACCTATCAGTGTAAGGAAGACATTTGAGAAGTCTCTTTCGCTACTGACAGTAACCTGTAGCGACAACGGAAACTATCCGCTTTGACGGTAGAGCATTTCATGAAGTGGATAGTTTCCTTACGATTTCAGTCATTTTTGCTAGAGAGATTAAACCTTATCGGATATTATTGTAAACCATCTCGAATTGTGTTGAGGCCTCTGAAGAGGCATTGCGATGAAACGTTAGGTCGTTACTTAATAAAATTTTTCGCCTAGAAACCTTGAACGGCAGAAGAGTTTTAACAGTGTATTATAAATGACAATGGTTCAAGCAAGAGAAAAGTTGGAGACTATTAACAGGAAATTTCGAAGATTTGTAAGTAATATATCTGGTTGGTCTCCAACTTCCCCAATGTTTTCCCGCGGCATACTTGTTTGCGGTCGTGCATATGTTTGGGTCGTGCAAGGTTCGCAGATGGGACTATGTAAATATTATTAGGTTCCTCGGACAAAGTGATAGTGATGACTTCTAGTGATCATAACTTGGAAGAGAGGTGACGGAAATGGACGCTGGTGGCATCGTTAGATGGAGTATAAAAAGCTCTTCCGAATGCATATCAACAAAACCACCTGTTTCCTTCCCTGCAGCCATACCCCATGATTTCAAACCGTCGCAACTTCACCTCCGCAACACCATTCAATTTCTTTTTTCATCTGGCCAAGAACCTGCGAAGATCGATAGACGTATGAAGGAAGTTTACAAAAAGGTTGCTCTTCCTAGATGCACAATTTACAAGTGGCATCCAAAGTTCACGTCGGACGACTGACTATTCCATCGAAGATGAAGACTGTCCGGGACTCTCCATGAAGTTGGATTCGGACGTGCTGCGGAGCCAGGTGAAAGCCGATCCGTATAAAACTACTCGTGAACTGCAGCCACTCTTGGGGAGTCAGTAAACATTTATTCGTGAATTGAATTCAATCGGCAAGGTTCGAAAGCTTGGTCGATGGGTGTCTCATACTTCGAAGTATGACATGGACTGCCGCGTCGACATTTTCTCTCCTTACGCTCAAGCGCAGGAAATGGTCAGATGTATTCGTTAGTATGTATTCGAAAGAGCTTTTCTTCACTCTATCTAACAATGCCTGGCGCGTCCATTTTCGTCATCTCTTTCCTGAGTTATGATCCCTAGAAGTCATCACTATCACATTGTCCGAGGACTTATGGCTCAACCTAATAATTAAACCAACGGCCCAATATTTAGACGCAATCTTCATATTCGAAAGCCCATACGCAACTCAAGACGAATTGCTCGAAATCTAACGAGGGACTTATCCCCTTCAAAGAACGTGACGACGTACATATTTGAAGTCCACGTTTCGGATATGACTCATCAAGAGTGGACAAAATTTGCTAACATCAAAATTACAATCAGCAGAGAATGAGGTCTCCTGCTTACTTCCATATAATTATAGTAGGAATATCTAGTTACTGAGTCCCAGCCCGCGGTGCACTATGTAGGCTTAGTTCGTTAGTTATGGTCGAACACACTCCTCTATCCTTTTTTTTTATTCCATCGGAAAAATACAGAAAGCCTCTATGGCATCCCCCACTGAAATCCCGTCTTCTGCGCTAATATAGTGCATTTTATTTAGGAAATGTTGCTGTTCCGCTCGTCAACTACAAATAGCCCGAGCACTGTCGCAATCACACCTCATAATAGCTTACTGTTCTTTAATTTGAAGTGAACCGTTGAGTTGATGAATAGTTCCACCTGAGACCCTCGCTCGGCAAAAGAGTATAACAGCCGCAAACAGTAGATCCTCATCCTTTTTGAAATATGCGATAAAATGGTCTCATGTTGAGATCAATGTGTATTGTTCTGATTGGAAAAAGGTGGATAGCTAATGTTTGCACGGTTTGCACGACTGACTTCTCAATCAAAGGATTGTGCAAATGATGTATAATGTCTGGTCGTTATGCCTATCAAAGAACGCGGAAGTCGCTTTTGCTCTATCAACTCCAGTAGCCGAGCAAACTTAGCGTTATCTTTTTCTACCCCCTTCGGCAACTTTTTCTACCCCCTTCGGCAACTTTTTCTACCCCCTTCGGCGGGAAAAAGATATGCTCGGATAATGACTTCCACAGTTTTTATGTTGCCTTCTCGAAAAAATCACCTTCTCGCGACGCTAGAATGGTAATGCGAATAGGTAAGAAAAACGTGTTAGCGTTCCAATGGTGCCCATGCAAGTACTCGTCCGATGCCTCCGACGATCCAAAGCAATTATCCCTAGTTGAAGTTACTCTCACCCGAATATCCGCTACTTTGGCGACCACACTGACATGTCGCGAGGATGAATTGAAGCATTATAGTAGTTTTCAGGAGTCAATTGCCATTCGGCGTACGGTACTGTCGATGGAAATTTTTTGATGAAGTAAGTCAAAAGCGTCTTAAAATGTCGTGGAGATGAATAAAGTAAAATCAAATTTCTGAATATGGTGGCAGGAGTGATTGGGCGAGAGTTGGCAAGTGGCGATCAGTGTAAGCATAAAAAACTGTCAAAGAGTAGAGTGGGGCACGCACGGAACAAACATTAATTAGCTTTTTGAAACAGACGAGTAGCATTAAGGGGCTAAAAACCAGACACAGAGGCAGAGAGACATAGACCAGAGAGCGACTCTGTGGTCCAATCTCTGTTGGTATCATCAATTTGTTATTACTTATTAACTAATCCTGAGTTATATGACGAAGCATTGATTCAACTTTATTTCTTGGTTTCAACTTTCCTTAATCTTTGGTTTGTTTATTTTTTTTTTTGAGTCTGTATGATCGATTTGGTGGACAGTCATATGGCCCAAAGCAGCCCGACATGGAAAGCATGAATAAATAAATAGATAAATAAAATAAATAGATTGAGCATCTTCTCTTTTGCTTTTTTGAGAGCTTATCATGGCCAAAATGGTGTAGTGCCTAGTGGCGCACTGTCACTGGCATAGTCCAGGAAGACGCACCCGGATCCCGAGTTCGTACCCGCGTTGTGCGACCGAGCCTTCCATCCTTAACGCTTGATTGATGCTCCATTCGCTCGAGAGGATAAAAACAGTGACTTGCACACCGGCTGATAACGCTATTAATTGTGTAGGCCACTCATTTTGATCCCGCCATGACTCCATGCCGAAGTCAAAGGCAGGGTTGCACAAACGAGATTGGCTAACCTCAAAAGATTGAGGTTATTTCAAACAACACAATACAACATGTATCGATAATGTTATTTGCCTCAAAGCTGAGATCTTTTTCAGCAAGAGCTAGAGAATGTATGCTGTATCGATCA